TGTTCATAACTAGAATCCACATCGGTTTCATCAACAACAGGCTGCCAAGATACCGATCTAAGATCATTGTTGATTTTTTCTACTGTTGAATTGGAAAAATTTCTTTGTAAAGAAAATTATTTAGCTTTACCTGTCTCCGAGATGGTAAAAACTTTTGAGATTGAAAAAATTGGATAATGATCAGACAGATCGTGGATAACTACTCCAGAAGAATGAGTAGAGACAATATTCGTTAAAATATTATCAAGAGAAACTGAATGAGAGCTAACTCTGGTTGGCCGATTGATGAGTGGACTAAAATTATATGAAAAGAAGAGTTGTTCAAAGTCCAACTTGTCTTTATTATCAAGATCCAAATTAATATTAAAATCGCTAATTATTATATATGTTGACATGTTTGAGTCAGTTAAAATTTGTTCAAAATCGATCATAAATTTGGAAATATCACTATTTGGCGGTCGATATAAAACTATAACTCTGATAGATTTAAATTGAGTCAACTCAGACAGCATAACTGGATCAATTAATGTCGCCGATAATGATTCTATATATTGATTATTAATATCATCCTTATTTAATTTGTAATTAATAGTATCTTTAATAAACAATCCTACACCCCCGCTCCTTTTAGAGTCTCTCACATGACCCTCGAAATTATAACCATCCAACCGGGTGAGAGGTTTTGTCTGTGAAGTAAGCCAGGTTTCGGAAATGGCGACGATAGAAAATTTGAAATTAAAAGAAGTTAGTAATATACTTAAATCATCAATTTTTTTCAGCAAACTCCTGGAGTTTATATGCAAGATTGAGAAATTATCGCTAGTTAAATTATCTGTATTAAAAGGATTATTTATTGATTATTTATTGGTTCAGTAGTGTAGTAATATATTATTGAGATATGTAATAAAAAAACTATCCAACCCTAGAAACTTGGTAGATTTCATAAATTACTGCAAATATATATACTTAAATATATATAATTTTCATTAAATTCTATTGCTATAGTATTATTTATTAATTATATTTTCTCTATTTTTCTAATAATAAATTGTAACTTATTTAGTTTATTAATTAAATTAACAAAATGTTTTATAATAATCATTTAATCATTTTATTACTATTAATTTTAAAAAACATTTTTAAATAAAAATAAATTATCGAAATAAGTTAAATATAAACTATTAGAATTAAAATAGTTTAAATACAACGAAAAAGCTTTCTTGTTAATTAAAAAAATCAGTTTAGCCATTTGCTTCTTGTTTAACTCGAGTAACAATTGTACTGAATGAAGCGGTTAACCCATTTCCAGTATCATCATCCACAGAACATTATACGACAGTCAAATGCTTTACGAAAGTCGGCAAACACATGTATGTATACAGATTGCTGATGTTCTTTGGTTTTTGCAAAATTACCTACCTACCTACCTAGCTACAAAACTGCCTGATCCCTTGTTATTCTTCCACTTCTACAAGCTTCTTGTTCTACAGCCATTTCCATTTCTGTTTTCATTTTTAATCTTTCGGCAATTTATAGTAAAAACTTGCATGTGATACAAAGGCGATTGTCTTGGAGTTTATAAATTGTTTCAAATCACCTTTTTTGAAATTGGTAAAAACACCGATTGTGTCAAATCATCTGACGACTCTCTTGTGCCCCATACTTCTGGACATAT